AGAGAGAGAGAGAGAGAGAGAGAGAGAGAGAGAGAGAGAGAGAGAGATGTCTCCCCTTCACTCCTCTTCCGCTAAGTTCACAGGGATTGAGAAATGTATCTGGAGCAGCGGGACCCAGGTTGCTGTTGGAGGAAGCCTGGAGGGGCAGACAGGATGGGAGCCAGCAGAACAGGGCCCAGAGGCCACTGGGAGGAGCTGCCCAGGTTTCCTCCAATGACCATTGAGCCAGGCCCGGAGGCCAGCACACCCCAAGAACTGCAGTCAGAAATCCAGCCTCAGAAGAGGATGCACAATCATGTTCCTATGCAGCATTTTGAAGTTTCCAAAATGTTTTCACAATAATGCCAAGAACTGCATGGCATCCTCATTCTGCAGAGGAGAAAGCTGAGATTAGGAGATGTTAGGTGCCGTACCCAAGCCCACAAAGCTAGTAAATGTCAGAGCCTGGATTTGAACCAGGGTCTCCTGCCTTTGATAAGTGCTCTTAGGTGGAGCCAGGAGGCTTCTTGAGTTTCTGAAGGCCCTGCCCCAGGACACTTCTGTCCATGGAGGCCAGGGTGATTCTGGGACCCAATCTGGAGTTCTCTTTCAGATAGTGTTTGATCAGGGAGTATGCTTTCCAGAGGAGGGGGGAGGGTAAACTTCGCCACATAGGGTTTGTCTCCTGTAGGACTAGGTAGTCCTGGGGAAATGTGGAGAAGGCCTAAGAAATAGGATTCTACCTCACATATGGTAACCGGGTGTGGTCCTATGTGGGTTCTTTGTCAGCAGCGCAAAGGACAAGTGAGACTTTATGGGAAACAAGAAGACACTAAATAAAGGCTCATACCAGTCCCAGCTTGGTGTTCCTTTGAATATGGCCTGCCCTTTGAATATGAAGCCAAGACAGTGACCACCGTTAGGGGCAGGAACTAGTGCTGTCCTCCCATTAGTGAGGATGCATACTCCCTTACCCTGATGCCCCAATGAACCACAGGCTAGAATGAGGGATTTATTCCTTAGTAAAGCCAGCAGCATTGCCTCCTATATCCTCAAATTACCCTTTTTCCATCCTGTCCTCTTCCCCGTTCCCAAGGTTTTTTATTCTCCATAGATGTCCAGGGCCCTTATGCTCTTTCCCCCTCCTCTGTCATTTATACCTTAGTATGAATTCTATATACAATATATGTATATACATGTGTATGTGTATGTGTATGTATATACGTATGTATATGTTCATGTTCAATCATTTTCAGTCGTGTCTGACGCTTTGTGAGCCCATTTGAGGTTTTCTTGGCAAAGATACTGGACTGGTTTGCCATTTCCTTCCCTAGCTCATTTTACAGGTGAGGAAACTGAGTCAAACAAGGTTAAGTGACTTGCCCAGGGTCACACAGCTAGTATCTAAAGCTGGATTTGAACTCTAGGGCTGGCACTCTATCCATTGTGCCATTTAGCTGCCCTGTGTATATATATACACATAATTTGTTGAGAATTCTATAAGTATTCTCAACAAATGTTGAGTATGTGAATAAATATATTTGAAGGTATGTATACCTATACGTATATATGCACACATATATAGAATTCTATAAATATTCTCAACAAATGTTGAGTATGAATTCTCAATAAATATATGTGTAGGTATATATACCTACATATAAATATATTCATGTGTAGATATACATATCTATATATAGATATACATACCTACATATACATATCTATTGAGAATTCTGTGAGTGTTTTCAACAAACATCGAGTATGAATTATGTATGTATGTATACATACATACATAATTCATACTCAATGTTTATTGACATATATGTATGTATACAATGCGTGCTACACATAAAGCACAGTGCTAGGAAATGGGGATACAGGGGCGGAGAAAAAGACAACCCAAAGTAGTCCCTGTCCTGAAGGAATTTACAATGTAATAACAGAATGAAACATCATTACTATACTATAATGCAAAGTAGAGTATGATTAAAGGGAAAAAAGAGGTCAAATAGTAACCTGAGAAAAGACTTACTTCCAACTGGGGAGATCAGGAAAGGCTGCATGGAGGAGGAGGCAACTGGGCTGAACCTTGAAAGAAAAAAAAGATTTCAAGATGTGAAATTTGAAAAATTCTGTGCAGCCGCTCTCAGGGATGTTGTGTGTTGGGGGATCTATAGTATCAGGGCGGGGAATGGACTTGTAATTTCACAAGTATAGGCTATTCTTGGATGAGGAAATTCTGTCTACCAAAGAAAGTTGGTACCTTCTCTGCCATATATAGTTTTAGAAAGCAATGAATGTCACTAGAGTACAAACAACTTGTCTAAAGTCGAACAGCCAATATGTCAGTGGTGGGTCTTGGTCTTAATGACTTTGAGACCAGCTTTCTATCCAACACACCAGTGGTATCAAATTCAAATACAAATAGGGGTCACTAAACTCTTTGGATCTCTGTGGGCAGAATATTGACTTAGAAAACCACGCATTAAGATTATCTGTGTTCTATTGTATTTTTATTTATTTTGTTAAATATTTCCCAATTACATTTTAATCTAGTTTGGGCTGTAGCAGCAATGTGGCCCTTGGGCAGCATGTTTGACACCCTTTGGACTCTACTATTCAACCTTGTTATTGCTCTGCTCTCGCCAACCGAGGTAACTAGCCCAGTCACATAGCAAGCATGTATTAAGTGCCTACTCTGTGCCAGGTGTTGTGTTAAACACTAGGGGTACAAAAGAAGGCAAAAAGTCCCTGCCTTCAAGTAGCTCACAATCTAATGGGAGAGACAACGTACAGACAACTACATAAAAACAAGCCATATACAGGATTAATGGGAAATAATCCACAGAGTGAAGGCCCTAGAATTAAGAGGGGTTGGAAAAGGCTTCCCTATAGAAGGTGGGATTTTAGTTAGAACTCAGAGGAAGCCAGAGAGGTCAGTAGGTAGAAATGAAGAGGGAAAGCATTCCGGGCATGGGAGAGAGCCAGAGAAAATGCCCGCAGCCAAGAGATGGAGGATCTTGTTCCTAGAATGTCACTGAATCACAGTATAAGGTGGGGAGTAAGGTATAAGAAGACTGGAAAGGGAGGGAGGGAGGGTTAGGTAATGAAGGGCTTTGAAAGCCAGAGGATTTTATATTTGATCCTGGAGGCGGTAAGGAGCCACTGGAGATTATTGTGGGGATGCCATGGTCAGACCTGTACTTTAGGAAAATCACTTTGGTGCAGGAATGGAGGATGGACTGGAATGGGGAGAGACTTGTGGCAGGCAAAGCAACCAGGTGAACTATTACAGTAGTCCAGGTATGAAGAGATGAGGGCCTGCATTAAGGTGATGGCAATATTAGAGGAGAGGAGCGGATGTATTTGAGAGATGTTACAAAGGTGAAATCAATAGGCTTTGGCAATGGATTGAATGGGGGTGGGGTGAGAGACATTGAGGAGTAAAGATGATACATAGGTGGGGAGCCTGGGAGACTGGTGGGATGGTGGTGCCCTTCATAGTAATAGGGAAGTTGGGAGGAGGGGAGACTTGCGGGGGGAGATAATGAGTTTGGGTTTGGATATGTTGAATTTAAGATAACTACTGGACATCTAGTTCCAGATGTCTGATAGGCAGTTGGTGATGTGAGACTGAAGGTCAGCAGAGATATTAGGACTGATAAGTCGATTTGAGAATCATCAGCATAGAGATGATCATTGAATTTAGGGGAGCTGATCAGATCCCTAAGTGATGTAGTGGCGGGATAAGAGAAGAGGACCCAAGACAGAGCCTTGTGGGACACCTACAGTTAGTGGGCATGACCTGGATAAAGATCCAGCAAGGGAGACTGAGGAGTGGTTAGATGGGAAAGAGGAGAACCAGGAAAGGGTGGTGTGCTGAAAACACAGACAGAAGAGATTATCAAGGAGAAGCTGGTCAGCAAGTCCTTGGATAAACCTAGAAAAGTCTCCTTCCCACCAGAAAAGACATCAGGATTAGCCATTTTCTTGTCGTAGAATTCCAGAGAGTCCCCCCACCCCAATTCTGGAGGAGTTTTAGTTAGACTAAATTGGAAGGTGAGTTAAACCTCACCTCAGCCCACTATATCTAGTGAACCCCAAGAGGCTTCATCCCATCCATTTACCAGGATGCCATGATGCTAAAGCTTTGCTAGCGTTGGCATCTTTCCTTCTGCCCTGCTGCAAATCCTTCTCCTTGCCCCAAACATGCACACATCCCCTTCCACCTCTTGCTCAGGAAACAATAATCAAATCAATACTATCATTGCTACTGGAAAGAAAGTACTTCTGCCCTATTGCTTCATTCAGAATCTTTGTGACTACCTCCAGGGGTGGGGAACCTTCAGCCTTGAGGCCACATGTGGCCCTCTAAGTCCCCAAGTGCCGCCCTTTGGCCACATGAGGCCTTGAGGCCACAGGTTTCCCACCCTTGACCTAGACCAAAGCCCCTTACCCAGGCTGCCCACCCACCCACTCCCATGCTGTACAGGGAATATTAATCATTTTTGTATTTGGGGCCCTTTTGGCAATCTAGTGAAGCCTATAGACCACTCCTCAAAATAATGTTTTTAAAATGCATGAAATAAAATACAGAGGATTACAAAGGAAGCCAAAGGTTAGTGAGAATAAAGATGTAATTTTTTTCTCCATCCAAGTTCACAGACTCCCTGAAATTTATCCGCAGTCTGTAAACTCCAGATTAAGAACCCCTGCAAGCTCTCTGAGGTAAGGGACTGCCTCACTTTTGTATCTGTGTCCTCAGTGCCTAGGACAGTGCCTGGCACGTAGTTCCCACTGAATAAATATTTATTAGTTGATTGATTAGTTGATTCTCCTTTCAAATTTCCTCCTTTGTAAAGTGAGGAATCTGAATCAAGGTCCTATCCAGCTCCTATTTATTGAACCTATTTATTGAACACCCACAGAATGTATAACCATAGAACTCCCATGGAACGTGGTGAGAAAAAAGGACTTGATTCCCCAGCCACCGGCCCTGTGAGCCCTGAGGCTCCTCCCACCCCATGTTTCTTTTTGGCCCGCTATTTGGAACAGGCTGTGGGAAAATCAAAGGAAGACACTGTGAACAGCATTGTCAGGATGGATTTGCTTGGGACACTGGCCAGCTCCTGAGTCATTGCCTGCTTCCTGCCAGGGTGGGAGTGCTCCTGGTACCATGTGGACAGAATAGTCGGGAGCACCCAGTGCCCCATTATTGCCTCTTGAGGGGCTCCTTTCTCAACAAAGGGAGAACAAAATTTTGCCTCAAGAGCACGTGTCACCCCAAAAATTTCCTTTAGAACTCCTTAATCTTTCAATATCTTTCTCTCCCTCATCTTTCTCTCTGTCTCTCTCTGTCTTTCTCTCTCTCCTCCCTCCTCCTTTCCTTACCCTTCTTTTCTTTCTCTCCCTCCTTCTCTCTCTCTCTCTGTTTTCTCTCTCCCCCCTCCTTCTCTCTCCCTTTCCCTCCCTCTTCTCTCTTTCCCCTCCCTCCTTCTCTCTCTCTTTCCACCTCTCCTTTCCCTCCCTCCTTCTCAGTTTCCCTCCTTCTCTCTGTCCCTCTCTCCCTCCCTCCTCCTCTTTCTGACCTTTCCCCTTTCTCTCTCTTCATCTCTCTTTCTATCTCTCTCCTACCGCTTCCCCTCTGCTCATACAGGTGCATTCTCACTTCCTCATATCTGCTCCTATCATCCCCACAACTGGAATGCCTCCTGCTCTCCCAGCCTATCCATATTCTAGCCATCCCAAACTTAAGTCCCTTTACCTTTAAACAAAGCCTCCAGGGACCTTTCCTTTTCCTAAAGTCCCATAAGCATGCATTGACTATACTATTTTACACTTAACCTCTTATGTCTGTATAATGATTTTCATTCTTTTCCCAGAAATTTCAGGGTTTTTTTTTAATCCTCATAACCTTGAGGGGTATGGGCAGCTAGGTGGCTTAGTGGATAGAGTGCTCAGCCTGGAGTCAGGAAGAGTTCATCTTCCTGAGTTCAAATCTGGCCTTAGACATTTACTAGCTGTGTGACCCTGGGCAAGTCACTTCACACTGTTTGCCTCAGTTTCTTCATCTGTAAAACGAGCTGGAGAAGGAAATGGCAAACCACTTCAGTATTTTTGCCAAGAAAACCCCAAATGAGGTCATAAAGAGATGGAAGTGACTGAAAACACCTGAATAACGAAAAGCCTGGAGGATAGACAGGGCAGGTTTTGCTATCCTTATTTTATAGGTAAGGACACTGAGGCCCAGAAAAATCGCTAACTTAGCCAAGGTCACAGAGCAAGCTGAAGGTCCTGTTTTGCCCTCCCAAGAATATTGCAAGGACACATGGAGATCTAAAATATGAATGGCCTTTGAGGGTAGATGGAGAAAGGGAGCATCTGGAAGAGGAAGTGAAACCTTCTGTCTTAGCCAGAAGAGAAGAGGGTGCCACTTGGCTGGAAAACCACTCCCCAAGAACCCAGCCAGTCTGTTTTCTGCCTTCCCCTCAGGAGTCAGGCACTGAGGAAAAGGAAAGGAATCCCGCCCGCCCTCACATTTTGTTAGCTGAAGACTTCAGAGTGGCTCATGGGCTGGAGAGGAGAGCTGGAGTGAGTGGATCATAATCTTGCTACCCACTCCCCAGACCATCGAGATACCGCTGCCCGAACCGTCTTCCTTCCCTTCATGCCCAGAGAAGCTGCCAAGGGAAACTCCCACTTCCACAAAGGCTATTTTGGGGACAGACTCTCCCCCCACACCATCCTCTATCTTCTTGTCATTGTCAGAGCTTAACAATAGCCGCAAAGGAGTCCCCCCCGGGGTCTCCAGGGGCGGGATGCCAAATTTAAGCAAACGTTCACAATGGCAGGAAGAGATCTCTTCCTTCCAGAGGCCGCAGCTGTACCCGGTGCCTCACCCCGCAGCTGTACCTGGTGCCTGACCCCAGACACCCTTCCCCCCACTGTCTTCCCCATGCACCGTCAGGATGCTAGAACAGAGCAGATCCTCCCTCTCAGGGGTCTGCTCACCTGGGGCATGAGTGAGGTTGCCCTGGTTTTTCTTTTTAAGTGCTTTCTGCTGGAGGAAGGAAGGCACAGGTAGATCC